GTGTGAAACTGATTCAGTTGAACTCTGCAGTATATTTCAGTGAAAAATTCAGTGAACTCTGCAGTAACATTTCACGTGTGCCAGGTGAGACATTCCAATCAAGCTGATTTCAAACAGGAAAATTCAGTCGAGTAAACTTCAGAAAATCTTCAGGAAGACTTACTCCTGCGGTGAGGAGTGAAAAGGTTCTTGCAGTAACGGCGCCCCGTAGGGATCACACAGCTTACCACAGTGGGAAGAAGCTGCGAAGACACACTTGAGAAGGTTGCTCCGTGGAGCGCGATTTCAGGCTGCTTCGCGGTGTGCATTAGCACTTCAAGGGTAGTTACTGCATTAGCCGAATGCATTAGCACTTTACTGCAAAACAACGTATGAGACAGCGTTGAACTGACTTAGAAGCATCAACGAATGAGAATTAAAATTGCAGGTACAAGATACTGCGTCCAGTATCTCTTCCAACCGAACACCATAGCTTTGTTAGCACGGCTAGGTGAACGGCCGCCGTGCCCCCTGCTACTGTACAAGGTCTGAAAAGTCATAGGAATAGAAATAGCTAGAGTAGTGTCCTTGGAAACAGGAGTGGACACACACACACACACACCCGGACGGTAGTAACTCATGCTCACGACTCGAAAACGAGCCAAGCTAAGCGTGGAGAGGGGCAGATCATGCGAAGCTGGAGGCCATGCCATGCATGACATCATGTGAGACATCCAGGAAAGATACATGGCCCGCCCAAGCTGGACGTCGGTGATTCCTGGACTTTCCGGGATTTTCTGCATTTTTGGAGGACAACCTGCACATCTAAATATATCATATAAAAGTCTATACAAATTGTATATATTGCGACCCTTCCCCCCCAATGGGCCACCACGAAAGACACCATGTCGACGTACGACCGACCCGCAAGGCGTTTCCGGCACCGAGGTCCGAGTACCAGCTGCGGGCCAAGGCGCATCAAGACTTTGGAGCTTTCACGATCCTGGCCAGGCAGGCGATTGATAAGGTGTGCTGAGATCTTGTGGCTTGTTTAGGGCCTTAGGCAGCCTTGGGGGTCATTCAGGATAAGACATATGTTGTATTTTTCTGTCATTTGGGTGGGAATCCCGACTGACTCACTGAACGTACTCATCCCTCCAAAGCTTAGATGAGTTGATGCCGCAGATGGGAGGCAAAATGATGGGAGACTTGGGTCTGTGCGAACTTACCTGTATCAGTCGGTAGACAAAATTTTAAAAAATTTAATATGTCTCGCTATTTTAGAGATGTCTTCCTGCAACTGAACCATCATCATCACTTGTTGTAAGGGTTCGAGTCTACCCAAGGGAGACTCATTGCTCACCCCATTCGGAGCCGCCCCCCCCTCGAAGCGCTCGCGCGCAGGTGCCCCGGCACCGATTCCGGAGGGCTGAAATGCGGGCAAAGCGGAGCCTTGGAGGCGGGTGATCGTTCCATGACCCAGACACTCCATGTAGGTCTCCCTATAAATTCACCCCAGGTCAATCACCCTAATTTCGGTAAATATATAAGATATACAGTATATATTATATTATATTATATACATGAAGATACATGGATAATCATGGAGATACATGGAGTGACTCTATAGTAAGGTGATGTTCCACCAGTCTCCGGGAGCGTGTCGAGTCTCTGATGCCCCTTCTGTTGAGCATGGGAAATTCTGTGAAGCAAACAAGGCCAGTCGAAAGTACTGTCGCCCACTTTTGGTGTAGTGCATCAGGGCACAAGCAGAAGTTGATGCCGCAACACACCTTGGTCGGTCGCATTGGGCAGCTGGAGAAGCAGACACCTGTAGAAACATCCTTGCTATAGGACTATACATCACTAGCGTCCGAGTGGTCAGCTCTTGATTTCACTGGGTCCGGTCATGCAAAAACTGTACGAGGCTGAGGTCGTTCGCACCAGGTTTTCTGACTGGTCCGACTGGACTGGATCCGGATCCATTGCTTGATCATCTTGATCCTACTCGTTCTTCCGTGGCACCAGGTGCAGCTCCCAGGTGGTGCTTGGATGTGTGTTCCAGCCCGCCGGGAAGAGCTCACTGTCATGCCGGGTACCCTCATGGAGTACCTCACTGCAGGAGTGGACGACGGATGATCCGGGACTCCGTTCGTGCCGACCGTCGAAGGGAGAAGATTCTGGGAAACAGATGTCAATTGAATTGTCGAAAAAAGTCATCCAGCCAGGACGGTGAGATGTCTTACACAATTGTGAGCAGGTTAGCATGTTCGGATAGCGTGTACCCAAACCTCTCTGGAACTGCGGAGGCCCGTGGCTTTTGTCACACCATGCGGTCCATGTGGTCGTCCTGACTGGTGACCTTCCGCCGAGTCGTCCACGAAGGACGTTGCCGCGGGGTGATGCACCGAGTGTCCAACCCACCGCAACGAGTCGCTTCAGCATCCAGGCGCTTGTCCTTGACCTTCGTTTCTTGGACGAAAAACGGCGGTGACGGCGCGAGGAACCGCGAGCCATGGGATGCGGATGTACCTTGACCTTATATAGGATAGTCTATCGGGGTTCTTCAACCTTGCTGGTATGTGGCCCGTTTCTATTTTTCTTCTCCTTCCCATTCCTTGATGCTGGTGGAGAGGGCGTCCCGGACGAGATGCGTTTTTCGGAAGTTCTGTGGGCTTCGAATGTTCCTGGATGCCCCAGGGAGGAAGCACAGAGCACCCGATCCTTGAGGTGGCTACGCTTCTGTTACTCCATTGGGGGCATGGGCGACCAAACGACCTAGGTGGACCTATGTCGACCTGATTTTATCGGCGTGGGACTGACCCCAAACGAACTCACCCCGAGGTAATATAGATCGATCGACATAATCTGATGGAGTTAGAGGAATTCATATCAATTCACCACCTAAGGGCATCTCAAAACCCTGACCCTTGCGAGGTCGTCAAGCCGGACTATACTGCTGCTGCCGTCCCTCCTGACAGCTCGCTCGCGAACGATCCGGCCACTCCTCGGCTGGGCGATCTGTGGCGCGTAGGCGCAGCTTTTGGGCGACATGAGGGGTGGAGTAGTGGTGAACCAGGGTGTGTGTCATGACATGCCTGGATAACACGCAGGACGTTAGAGGGCTGTAGACCATCTAGGCGAGAAAGTGCTCTTGAAACGGTCATTTTACTTGATTGCGGCCGAGAGGAAGTTTTGTTGAAGATCTCATGTGCATTCGTGTGATTTCAAGTCTCACAGGTTCCCTCGATGTCACGTGTCGCAGGATGGCAGGAGAAGCAGCGCTTGGAGGGTTCTATGCCCCATGGCGAAGCGGTGCAACTCTTCCGCCGTCATCGACAAGCCTTGCGACAGCAGCTGCTCTTGGATACCTGAGGAGCACCATTCACTGTCCATGCCAACTCGGAGCCGGTCGTGGCCGGAACCGGGTGGAAATCGCTTCGGCCGCGAGCGAGCGAGCCGCGGCGTCTGCCAGTTGGAGGATCAAGATGGTGGTGAGTGGTGATGGGACCATGATGGGCCATGTGGAGATCGCCAGAAAGAAGCGCCAATGATTCAATTCAACATGACGACGGGGACAGAGTTGTGCGATGAGGGCAGTGCTTTCTTCGCTTGAAATTGCCAGGTGTGATTCGGGCAAACGGAGGGGATAGCTGGTGCATTTGCATGTGGGTGGGGGGCCTCAAGTCAAGCACACGATGATGTTTACCCAACTGAAGACTATGGAAAATGGCTGCCCCAAAGCTTCGTCCTTCACAAACCGCTTGTTTTCAGGATCCAGGTCCATGCTAGTTTGCATGGCGGCACTGAATGTGCCTGCCTTTGGCAGTGCACTCAAACAATACAACCGCAATATACTAGTACCTCGTGCATATTGGGCGATAGCTCGTGCATCCCAGTTACCACTATATAAGGAACCAGGGGTTCTAGCTCTATGGTTTTAGTCTTGGACACCACTGGTTACCAGCTATAGTGGTAACATGTGGTAACTGGATGCCCTGGGTACAGTATAAGCAACAACATGGAAACACGATCCGCAGCCTTCGCCTTCGTCTTTGGATGGGCGGAGTTCGCGGTGACAAAACGTACCCCACCTGCGATCGCTCCAAAAAGCAGCCCACGAATGTCGAGGCTTTTGCGCGCATGGTGGAAGCAGTTGGGTGTGACCTGGTTTTGCTTAGTAGGCTGATCTTTTTTACATTGCGCTATTATGCCAATCCCGGTGTAATGATAAATCCCCCAGATATCCCCCAGATGGGGAATCGGATCTTGGATTTCTACTCCCGGTTCTTCGAGCAGCGATCCAAGGTGAACATGTCCACTTGCGCTGCAACGCCACGGATGTCGATTTTGCCCGCTGCCCGGTCGGGTAGAAATCGTGTATGCCGCAGCGATGAGTTGCCAGTCCCAAGGAAGAAGGAGTGCACGGTTCCTGCTTCAATGAGTGCTTGATTTGGTCAGATGGCCTGCTGAGGCCAAAAGGCTAATTTTCATTTTTCAACTTTTTGTTGAACATGATTCCATGATTAGTTATTTTTGTGTATCGTTGTTGTATCATGTTTTATCCTTCCAGCCACATCCAGCGACTGCCGACGAGTCATGTCCAATTTTACTCAACTCGTCGACCTTCTCGCGCCAACCGCGTGAGGTTTAACCACGGCACCCACCAGTCAGAAACAAGCATGTTCGGCACAAGGAGTGGCAGTTGGAGGACGCCTTAGCTGTTCAATCGTACTAATAACTACTATTAGAGGCGAATGACCGGGGTCCTGGCACCGGCCTTCCCCGCTTGGTGCAGCGCTCACCCCAAAGATAAAAGGGTGCTCCGAGGCAAGAAGTTAAGTATGAGCCGTGAACAGCTTTTGGCCGAGAGGAAGCGGAGAAATGCATGTTGGATCACGTCACGTTGCGCCGAAGATCCCTCCATCCTCGGGGAGACGCATTTCCGTCAGAGGGGGGGACGGCATGGGGAGAGCCGATGGTTTTTCCAAGAAATGCACCAACAGACACCAACGGAAGAAACCATGGAAAGGAGGCACCGCAAAGCCAGATGAAATATGAATTGCATTCAGAATGAGGATGAGCTACAGAATCCGGAAACATAGGCACCTGGCAGAGATGTACTGTAAGATGGACAGGACGCATCACCACTGACCGCGATCCTGCTCACAGGCGGATTTGTCACAAGCTGACGCCAAAGAAAGTGCATGATTTGTCACAGTGGTGCCGTTACCATGTCTCCGCTTGAACTACTTTTGCTGGTCACAGGCCGGGACAGAAACTCGCAAGAGAACGATATCCGTTCTGTGGGCAACCGCGTACGTAGTTTTTGTCGCACCGTCATACAGGATTTGCACCATGGACTCACACATGATGCGAAATGTAAAGCCATTTCCTGTTCCCGCCTCGTGCAGAAGATTGCATCTCAAGCTTCGCACTTTACTATCTCCATTTGCTGGGTTTTGGGCCGGGCGCGAACATTCGCAGTGGAGTGGTGTGGTCTTCCGTGAGGGTAAAGGGCCGCATGCCTGGAGAGAGGGGGGAGGATCAGAAGAGAAGAGAGAGAGAGAGAGAGAGGCAGAGGCATTCCCAAAGTCATCGGCATGTAACACATGTCACACATGTCACAATAAGAAGCTCACAGCCCTACCAGTGCGAATGCGCGTGGGAGTCCAAGTTCGTGGGGTCCCGCGTTTCGTGCTGCAAAGGTCCTGGCCAGCTACCAGGACAGAGGCGTGACAGGTGGAGAACATGTGTGTTCCACGCGCAGCGATAGATGTTCCGCAGGTTTTTTTGGACACACCAAATAATTGGCCGATTCAGGTCATGACGTCACCTAGACATCCTACACGAATCAAGGATTGATTTCGGCAACCCCCGCGAGGGGGGGGGTTGGGCACCTAGTCGACGACTGTGGATGTGCCGCCCTGTTGCTACGTTTTTCGGCCAGGTCGTGTGCACGACCTTACGGATGCTCATAGCTGCATGAAGCAGAAGTGCTTGGAGGCGGCTTGGAGGGGAGGCATCTGACATCATCTGACAATTGAGCTTTTTGGAGCTATTGGTGTGCCAGTTTTAGTTTGGATTGCTCGTCCGTCTTTGAGGTGAATCACCACTTGCCTTTAAACATGTCCTAATCACACGTGACACGGGCTCGCACTTTCGGCCGGGTTGAGGCCGACGGCGGGTTTGCTCACGCTCCTCACGCTCAAGCTGCCCAAGCTTCGGCACCGCGCGTCTGGCACTTCAGTGCTGTGAAAGGTCAACAGGATGAAGCTTGCTTCCTTCCCTTTCCCTTTCCCTTTCCCTTCCCCTTCCCCTTCCCCTTCCCCTTCCCCTCCCGTCCCTTCCCTTCCGTTCCGTTCCGTTCCTTCCCTTCCCTTGCCTTGCCTTGCCTTTCCTTTCCTTTCCTTTCCTTTCCTTTCCTTCCTTCCTTCCTCAAGCACTGCCAATGATTGCCGTGGTGAGCTTAGGCCTCGCAGCACTATGGCTTTGCGGAGTTGTAAGACGGCCACGCTCAGCCTCAAACGAATATGGCACGCCACCTGCTTCAGGGAGTCAGGGAGCACTGCTCTCCTTGGTTCTTCCAAAAGCACCAGGCGTTTTGGGAGTTCCAGCCAGATCAATTGGTGAAGTCAACTTCCAGCTTCCCGGCTTCCCGCTGTTACTATGTACAGAACTTGCCCACTTCCGCGGCTTCGCTGGAGTGCCCAGCCGAGCCTGCGCCACACAACCGTCGCAAAGGCTTCGACGCAAGTAGGAAACCCATTTTTTTTTTGCGTGCAAACATGAGCGACGATGGCGCCAGTGTTTTGTTTTGCATTGGCTTTCGTAGGGGTTGTGGATGCCTTTGGGCCTTTGGGAATGGCATTGTCACAGCAGATTGGTAAGAAACTGTCAATACTCAGGACGTTCAAGTTAGAGGATGGAACGCGGCAACTTTGCCCTTGACAAACAGAGGGTTTCTCACTTCCATGGTCTTCCATGATGGTTGTTGTAGGACGATGCAGATGAGCTTGATTTGTGCCAACCTCTAGCGATCCCTCCACGCATCGCTACTGTGCCGGCACGCTGAAAACGGCTCAAACTTCCCAGAGTCCCAGAGCCAAATGGACGTGTTCAAGGCAAAACATCCATTTGAACGGGCCGGGGCATATTATGAGCACTCTCAATTTTGACTTGAGCGGGTTGCAAGTACTTTTCTCAGCCACCCGCTCGGCCTACAAAGTGAATGATTTCGGGGAGCTTTCCCAGAAAGTTTGGGCAGGGTGGCCCCAACCAACCGATCTAAGGCTCTAAGGTTCATTTTCTAGACCTTTTATATATATATATATATTTTTTTTTTAAATTTATGGGGTTTGCAAGGCTGACACTTTCTCCACAGATGATAATCACCACCCTCATTATTACTATATATTATTACTATATATTACTATATTATTCGAGAGACCTTGCAGCCTTGATCAGATGCCCCACCGGCATTTGGATCTTGGGGCAATCCTTGGTGTGTATAGACTTTGTGTACTCCATTGGTCCCCTCGAATGGTCAAATCGTGAACAACAAGAACAACAACAACCTACAAAAATCCAACCATTGCCAGATGTTCATCCAACGCTTGGGCGTTGGATTCCCAGTTTCCGTCCCCACCGACTGCCGAACAGACGACCGGCTGCCTGGGCCATGGCGCCTTGCCATGGCGAGAGCTTGCCACGTGGCGGGGGGACCGAGCGAAGACGTGGAGGCGGACATGGTTCGAAGGACGACGTCATTTCTCGAAGTTGGCGCGACTTGAAGCACTTGATGTTCAATGGGCGCGTCGACAGTTAGATCATGTAGAATATAAACACAGTACGTTATATCATTGATATATAATATATATAAATATATACTGTACTGTTTGCATGTGCAGCCCATAAATACTCCGCTAGGATACTGCAGACACGCGACTTATGATATATTTTGGCTCAAGGTGAAAAGGCGTTCCGAAACGTCGAAACCTCGTTTTCATGGTAGCGCACGAGTCCGGTGAAAGTGACAGGGACAAAGCGCTGCGCATAAAGGAAGAGAGACACGGTAAAGTCGAGAGCTCCGAGGAGGAGGAGCTGGGACCCTCGGGAGCGGCAGCTTCTGCCGCCCCGAGTGGAACAGGAGAAGAAGGAAAAGTAAAAGAGGAGGAGGAGAAAGAGCCTTTGCCAGCCACATCAGCGGCGGATCCAGCCGCAAGCACCACTCCAGCGGTCGAGAAGACCGCAGAAACAACCTCAGCGGTTGAGAAGACCGCAGAAACAAAAGAAGAGGAGGAAAGTACAAAAGGAACAGAAGGACCAGGAGAGGAAGAAGAGCCTGAACAAGACCCGATAAGAAGAACGGCAAAGGATCAATTGTGATCGAAGCCGATCGGAGGCATGTTGATCTTTTCATCCAGGCACTTGGCCTGGAAAAGGCAAATGGTGTAGAATCACCAGATGTCAAGAAGTCGGCAGATCAGCAGATGCTGGAAAGCCGCAGTCCGCTGCTAGATAAGAGCGAGGCATCGAGGTATCGCTCAGCCACGATGCGCGCTGCGTATCTGTCCCAAGATCGACTTGATATTGGGCACGCAGTGAAGAACCTCGCTCGAGGTATGGTGTCGCCAACAGAAGCCAAACTTGCAGACTTGAAACGTCTCATCAGGTACCTTAAGAAAGGTTGAGGATCCAGGTCGACGCTGACCACGGTGGAGATGCTGTGACACGCAAGAGCACGACTGGCATGGTTGCCATTTATGGCACACACGTGCTGAAACACAGTAGTAACATCCAATCCACCATAGCCCTTTCGACAGGCGAGAGCGAATACTAAGGGCGGATCTGTGGGCTTAGGACTTCAAAGCCTATGCGCAGATCTTGGTTTGGATTTGGAAGTCACCATAGAAGGCGATTCCAATGCAGCCAAAGGAACCGTCAACCGAGTTGGATTGGGTAAAGCCAGACACATCCAAACTCGCTACCTATGGTTGCAGGAAAGAGTTGCCGAAGGCCACTTGAAGGTGCACCACGTTCCAGGAGTTAAGAACAAAGCCGATGTGTTGACCAAATCGGTTCCTGGGGTACAGCTTCGCAAGACGATGGAGGACTTGCAATATGCCTTCCTCACTAAGCGCAGCAAAGGGCAGCTGGATGTTTTGGAGTGAGGTCCCTGGCCAAGCTCCACTACTACAGCTGAGAGTGGCTTAGCAGCGTGAGGTTTCACATGTTTTACTTTGACTTGCGCAGCAGTACAGTGCTTTGCAAGAGGAGGAGTGTTTGCATGTACAGCCCATAAATACTCCGCTAGGATACTGCAGACACGCGACTTATGATATATTTTGGCTCAAGGTGAAAAGGCGTTCCGAAACGTCGAAACCTCGTTTTCATGTACACATATATGTGTAACACACACATATATATATATATAACATACATATACACATGTGTATGCCGGCCTGAGCAACAAAAGCCATGCCGGTGAATTGCTATGCTTACTCTCTTCACCATGGGGGTGTCAAAATGTGTTGCCGGGTGACCACAAAGCGGGCTCTTGATTGAGTCCTACAAGCCCTTTGGCTACTCTCATCACATCACCTAAACAAATTGATCCATTATCATTTGCACAACAATTCCATCGCCCACAGAGAAGCCCACGCCAAACTAGGAACCGAAATAGGTCCATGTGACGGTCATGCGACCGACCCAAAGACGCAAAGGTCGACGTCCGGCACGTGTTGTCCTTGCTCCTAGTAGCTTCTTGCTAGTAATGGCCTCCAACCTAGTAACTAGTAGAGATGGCCTCCAACCTAGCCTCCAACCTACTAGCGATGGCCTCCAACTTGCTAGCTTCTTGCTCCTAGTAAGGCCACGTTCGCCCCGTTCGTAGCGTCCGACCGCTCCGTTCGGCCGTGCGATGCGTCCTAGTCGCTCGCTCCGTCCGTTCGTCGCTTCGTTCGCCCAGGCCGTTTGGCTCTTGTCCTCGCCTCAGAGACGGAGGTCCTTCGACCAACGTCCTGCGGATCGAAGCGAGTGCTCGGCAGGACCGGTGCGTGGACTACCGCGCAAGGTGGAGGCACCTACAAGGGGCCAGGGCCTCAAGACCACGAACCTGGGGAAGGAGCCATTCGTAGTACAGATAGATGTGCATATTATGGTATATATTATATGTAAGATCGATTTATGTTAAACTCTAGGACCTAGAAGAGGCCAACAACTAGCGATTTGAAGCATGTCACATTATGTTTGCGCAGCTTTGTGGGGATTGTGTGCTGACAGCCTGTTTGGGCATTGGTTGCAGCAGCCAGCTCGCACCAGGTTCGTCAATCCCTTGCGGCACTATAATGAGTCTGATGGCTCGTTGGTACGCTCTGTCTTGATTGTGAGCGTCAATGTCGAAGTTGCATCCAAGGCTAATTTGTCATTGAAAGCTTTGTTTCACCAGCAGTTTAGGCGACATGCTGCCAATTACATCAGGCAATTGCAGTCACAGTTTCTCGTGCTGGGTGTGGGCAGTGGACATCAGTTCGGAAAGAGCGATACATTCATCTGGAAGAAAGCGCACGAAGCCTATCAACCTCGCTTGCAACAAACAATTTAGCCGCCTTGATTCCTTTTTATGCTGCAGCGGTGTGATTTGTTTATTCTGATCCACTAAGCTGCAGTGGTGTGCTTGCCTTTCGGGCCTATCCCAAGAGTAAATGTTTGTTAAAAACAGATTTTGTTCATAAAATGGGCTCCTTGGGGCCTGCGAATCCGTTCGAAAGACGCATGCGAATCCTGGTTGTTTTGTCTCCGAGTTGGGGACCATCGGTCTGTCGTTTTTTGTTGTTGCACTTGTGACAAAAGGATAGCACGGCAAATGTGCAGTCTGTGAAAGACGTCTTTGTCATCTCCAGTGTTTGTTGAAATTAGCTTTGTGGAAGACACCTCTGGAGGGATGAGTGCAAGTCTAGACACCTCCGCCGACGTCCGCCGATGTGATCTGAAGTGACTTGGTGAAGCAGACGGATACGGAGAAAGAGGGCAGCGTTGGGCAGCGTTCACATAGGGGAAATCATAAGACTCAGATGACTTGGTGTCTTTTTCTCCTCAACCTGGCTCCACAATGGGAAAGTGCTGAAAGGGACGGCAAGAGATGACTTGATCGTTTTGCTGTATCTGACCATCGGATTGCCGCATGGTCCGGCAGGAGCTTGATCTCCCAGGCTTGGTGCTCAACAGGGCCATACCAGGCATACTACAAAATCCAAGTGGATGGTCAATAGATTCAATAGTCCCCCACCCTTTGCTCGCCGTCGTGCCGTATCCACTTTGGGTCGTCTCGTGCCAGCGCTTTGTGCTACAGCTGGATGATAGTGAGACCACGGAAGAGCTGGCCTTGGCGGTGCAGGTGGGGATCGACTCGAAACATGGACATTCCCCCATATATACAAATGGGATCAAGTGGGTGTGCTCAAATCCATTGGCGTCCTTCCAGTTCGACCCCACGGGGTCACTGGAACATCGACTAAATTCTAATGGGCCACGGGGTCACAGCCTATTAACATGCATACCAATGCATACCCAAATCGCTCATGAAGAGCTCTACACCATTTGAGCTGGAAGGTCCGGCTATGTTTAATCCACTCTTTTGCCTACAGCCATGAAAAGGGCTTGGAGTTTCTGCTAGATCAAGTGGATGTATACTTTCGTGTGGATTGTCTGAACGTGCGGATGCTGAGCCTCATGTCATCTCGCCCACAGCTTGTTCACAACACATGCGTTGTGACTTGCTCAGATGTGGTCAGATGAAATGATCTGAATTGAAGAAAGCTCGAGGCCATGTGGACATCTAGTTCCCTTTTTGATGGGATGCTCAAAAGCAGGTGTGAGTTCTGAAATTCTGCACCCATTTTTACACGGCATGCGGCATAGTCCATATTGGCCCATAGCGCAGTTTTCGATGGCTCTCGTCAGTGTTCATTCAAATTGGCATGGAGGCCCACTTGTTGTGCTTTGCCGTGTGAGGGTCCTTCCCGGTTGACTGAGCCACCTGCCTCACCGACCTCGCTTCGCGGCGCAGCTTATTTGGATCAGATTTACTTGAAGTGAGGTCGGCTTATCCGCGCGCGAACAGGCGGGCGAGCTGGGGTGCTGAGATGATCGGTGTGGGACATCCTGAAAGTGCCTGTCCCCAAAGTCTACCTGACTGATCGACGGGGTTATATAATGTTATATAGCAGATATTACAAGATGTCACAAGTTACAACAGGTCAGTGGTGTCTCACTGGGTGTCCACCTCTTTTCACAAACTTTCTTGGGCGGCCAAACCTGCACCCAGCCCGATGTCCACCCGCTCCAGCCCGCTTTCCGCCCACCCAGGCGCATGGCCGGGGCCCGTTTGGCCCGCTGGGCCTCGCTGCTCGTCCTCGTCTCCGCCACGGTGGTGCTCGACCGTCCCGACTCGGAGTACCAGGCGGTGTGCTGGGGTGAGGAGGGGTGAGGAGGGGGGCGAAACCGGTGAGGCGTGGGACGTGGGCCATGAACCTGGAACCCCCAAAAGACCTCACGGGCAGACCTTAGTGTCTCACAGGCTCAGTTTGGAGCAGTGCAAGCACGCTCACGCTCCGTATAGGATCGAGGGACTGGGGCATACGCGGACTTCTCTCTGATGGATTTCACGTCTGCAGCCTTTGAGTGTCTACCATGCTCCACCCAGTCTCCATGCGTGCACCCGTACGCACGCGTGCGCATGCACACACGCGTGCAGGGCCAAGCAGAGAATTGTACCAAGCTCTTCGTGACTTGGAGTTTCCTGGAGTGTGGATCCACCATCCATGTAGGGGAACATTTACTCTACATTGACCCTCAAAACACCTTAAACATCTTAAAAGCCACCCCAATGAGGTGAGTATTCCATACATGGATTGTCAGGGGTGTCTTCACAGCCTTGGGTTGAAACAGCGTGACCGCTTTTCCTTCCAAGCAACGAACCAGCGGTTTTCTGAGCAATCTTCAGCGGTTTTCTTCGGTCAGTTGTTCCCGGGTCCCCCCCCCTTCGTTTCCAAGGACCTTGGCAGCATTTTGGGACAGGTTTGTTCGGCAATCTTGGTTTGAAGGTGCACCATCGATGAGCCTTTCCCACCGTTAAAGGTGAAAACCGAACGCATGTTTGTCGATGGACCGACGTGGAAAGGGAAAGCGCACGGTCAGATGTCCAACCTGCTTTGGGTCATGGCTTGCCCAATGATGCTGCTGCTGCTGAGGAGGAGGAGGATGGATGAGAATGAGAATGAGAATGAGAATGAGCACGACGACATCATCCTTCCAAAATAATGATATGATTAGATGGACTAGTGCCAAATACACTAATGAAAGGAATAAAGTATGAGGAAGTCCTTACATTTATAACTTTGGCCCTGCGCTCCTGCACGCCCAACCTTGTGCACACCTCTGCGGCGCACTGAGGTCGATTCCACTCCCTTCGATGAACTTCCGGAGGGTTTGAATCAGAAAGTGCACCCGAGGACTCAACGTTCCGGCGAAAGGTGGTTCTGGTGAGGGTAGACACATGCATTTGACTTGCGGCTTTCTGCTACAATTATGGGTTCAGCGCCCGCCGGCGCTGAACCCGAGAACCCAGGGTGCAAAAGGAGTGTTGCAGTGTTTTTACAATTATCGAGTGGAGTGGCACTGCTAGGAACATGCTAAACATTGTGCAAATAGCGGTGCTTTGGGCGGCAGAAACGTAAGACAACTGTAAAAACAATGTTTTTTGCCCCAAATTGCATAATCCAAAGAAGCCTCGTAAGTATATGCAAGTACTGTACTTTTTGGCTTGCCAAGGTTGAGCATGAATCATTTGTATTTATATGCATGAATACTGTACGTATTTACAGGTATTATATACGTTTTGTTTGGCTCCTCATGCTCAAAATCTTGCAAATACCATGGTTTTTGGCTTGTCGAGGTTCAAGCATTTAGTCTGGAGTCCATATATTTGGCAAGCTAGACGAATGGTCCCTACGTGCAGTGGTCTAGCGCGCAGGCGCGTTTCCTTGCGTGGGCGCGGGAAGCCGGTTCCAGGGTTGAGGCCTACATAGGCCTACTCACAGTGGCACGGGGCGATTGTGGGCAAGGCTTGTCCCTGTGGGACCCCAACGCCAGCCCCACTCCGCTCATGTTCGTCCTAGACCGGCGCAGACCTCTTTCGGCTCGTTCCCGCCTGGGTGGTCGGGTCGTTCCGGCGAGGAAGAAGGGCTTGGAGTCCGCGCAGATGTTGACCGTTCGGGCCGTGTTCTACGAGCCGCGGCCTGTGGGGCCCCTTGGTCGCCGCCACGGGGCCAGTTCGATGTGCCAGCCCGCGGGGTGCACCCCCAAGTGGTGCGGAGAGGGCGGAGAAGCTGTGGAGGCTGGTTTGCAGGTCGTCAGGGGAATTGACGAGAAAGAGACGTTTCCGCGTCATGGAGGTGGGAATGCCTCGTGTTGAGGTATGCATGGCCATGCAAAAACATGTCCCTGCCCATGAGCCGGAGCGTAAACATGCCCCTCAGCCGTGAGCGATGGCAAGATTCTTGGGACCCCGTCTGACCAAGTACGGGAGCTTCTTGCGAGAGTTGGCGCTTCATGCCACTTGTTCTCTTGTCGGAGTGGACCTTGGCATGGAACACGCATAGTTTATATATATATATACATATATACATGGCACCTGGTCCAGAAAAGAGCACAAGCAGTACGGCGCCGGCCCTGACACTCAGGTTGAACCCCAGCAAGGACAACGACCTCTACACCTCTGCGTTCAGAAACATGCACGAGAGGGATCTCTACATTATGCGGCACCCTGGCGAAGGTGTATTTTTGACACATTTTGACACGATGGGTCGATCTTGTGACTTGTGGAAGGTACTGGTAACGACACGCACGCGCGCACACACACTCTGACAGTTGTATTCAGTTAACTCAGTTACCACGATGGGAAGGATGGCGGTGGAACAGCATGGCGAAAAGTCCGAGAAATTGTAGGTGTTTGAACAATGGTTGTTTCCCTTGACTGCGGTGACAAAGCGGCTCAAGTTGCACCTCTGCTGGGGAGGAAACCTGTTTATGGGGAAGGTAGCATGGGAACAACCATGAAAACGAAGAACAGCGGCGAGGGGAACCAGTGGAGTCAGTGTGTCGAAAGCAGGTACAGGAAGGTGATCAGCCTTCCCTTCCCATCCATGACCGCAGCTTCGTTGCACACGGTAGGTCATGGATGCCGTGTGCCCCTGCCTGTAGAACTGGGGTTGAAAAGTGGTAGTGGAAAAAGCGGTAGGAAACCCTTTGCCCAGGGGTGGACACACACAGATCGCCGTCTTCGGCGCTTTTTTCAAAAAACGGTGGCAGGCTTGTTGGTTGTGTCCTTTTTGGACGTAAAGCCTCACTAGCTCGGCTGCAGCAGCGTCAGCGCTTGAGGGTGGAAAGGTGTATTTGTGGATAGTGTGAAGTCTGGATTGGAGGCCTGACAGAGCCAAGCGCTGGCTCCCGGCTGTGGTGACATCTCTGATTTTCCAATGTTGGGAAGGTTGTATGTAGGTGATGGTGCGTTGTTGGAGGTCAATGTTGAAGTAAGGAGGTGAAAGTCGTCCACCGGTTCAAGTTCGACTGGGTCGCCAAAGAAGTTGTGGTGGATAAGGGTTTGAATGGCTGGGTGGTGGAGGAAGTGCTCATTGTGGACAATGAAACGGTTGTCCACGTAGCGGTAGTAGGTAAAGTGTAGGTTCGTGTGGTGAAGTAGGTTGTTGTGGATCTGATGCCAGGAGTGTTCAATGAGTGTGATGGCAACGTTGCAAAGGGCTGGAGAGAGTTGGGAGCCAATCCCAGCTCCTCGGATTTGCTTGTAGGTGTTATTGCAAGCCCGGAAAATGCAGGTGTTGAGTGCATATGCGACAATGGTGGTGATGTCAGAGGTCTGGATAGTGCGTTGTGTGGGGTGTTTCTGGTGGTGTCGGCCGATGTGGGAGTGGTGGAAGGGGTTGCCGGTGGCGTGAGTGTCCACTGTAAGGGTGTGCGTGGATTGTTGTTGTTGCCAGTGGTGAATCATGGAGTGGACGGCATCGATCAAGCGGTGCTGGGGAACCGAGTTGAAGAAGCCCACCAGGTCGTCATCGGTGGCGTGCAGGGAGATGTCCGTGGGGGTATTTGTGAGGTAGCTGTGGAAGTGGTGCCAGAGTTGTGGGATGGACAGTTGTCCTGGATGTTGCGGGTAGAGGTGCTGGAGGATAATGTCGAGGGCACGGCTGGTGATACGTAAGAGGTTGCCAGTAAGTGAATGAAAATATGAGATGATAGTGCGGCCTTTCTGCCATTGTTTCTTCTCCTTGAGGTGTACCACCCCATAAGGAATGTTGAATTCCTTGCGGAATCCCCATTTGTAGCGTGTGCGGAGGATGGTCGGGACTGTGGACTTGAGGTGGTTGTGGATGTTGTCGGCTGTATACGGAAGTGGTTCGAAAAGTTCGGGGGATTGCCATGTGTTCAGGACTCCGGTGAAATACTGGCGGGGGCAGAACAGTCGGAGTTGTTGTAGTTCATGGTCGGCATGGTGGAGTACTGTGTGTGGGCCGAGAAGTTCTTGGAGTTGGCGGAGCAAACGAGCTGTAAAGCGGGGTTGTTGTTTGAGATGTGTATTGTGGAGGCGCCATTGGTGTGCGAGGAAAGGTTCCACATGCTGTACGAGGGATAGTGGTAGCCCTTGGAGCTTGAGCCACTTCGTGTAGGCCGTTTGGAAAGTGAGGAAATAGCGGGCTTTGCTGGGGTAGTAGGTCCAGCCCAGCTGTCGGGGGCGTCGTCCTTCAGAGATGGGTGTGGAGGTTTCAGGACGTCCGCCAGAACTGGTGGCTTGTGTGCGGGTGGAGTTGGTGGATGTGATGGTTCGGCAGAACCTGTGGCGTGGCTGGTGCCCTTCACAGGAGTGAGGGGATTGCCGAGGTTGTGGAGCTTCTGTTTGGCGCGGGCAAGTTCGTCGGTGGTGTTCTTGAGGGCTCGTAGGGCTGTGCCTTCCGTAGGTGCGGGTGAATGGGATTGGAGTTGTTGGATGAGGAGGTTGATCAACGGGGCGTGGAAAGCCCGTGCCTGGGTGGTTTTGCTGGGGACGTCGGTGCCCTGTTTGGTGTGGAGGGTTTCGGCGATGCCGTCCAGGTCCAGGCGTTTCTCCCGGAGTTCCTGGAGGAGGCGTGTGACGAAAACAGATTCTGCCACACTCCTAGTGGCGATGAAACCTGTGTATTTCCCATGGCTGAGGGTGCGGGCTGTATACTCGGCAGTGCCATGGTATGCAAGCTGCCAGGGAAAGATGTCGAATGTTGGAAGGCCGGCAACTCCTGCCTTGCGCGACCATTGGGTGGGTTGTATTGTTTTGTAGAGCTGGTGGCCGTGGAGTGTGTTGGCGTCCCAATGGTGATCAGTTTGGTTCCAGGATTCCTGGGGTGGTGGCTGAGGTGAAGGGATGTGGGGTGGTGGGGGAGGTGCAGATCCGGAGCCAGCGGCCGCTCCTGGCTGTGGGCTGTGTTTGAACGACGAACCTGGTGGAGTGACTGGAGCCGCGGTAGGCAGTGGTGGAGGCGGCGGAGGTGGGAACTCTGGCTTGGATGGTGGAGGCACTTGTGGTGGAGTCACCTGTGGAGGCGTGTGCTGTGGTGGTGGTATGTATGGGTGTGTATGGTGAGTCTGGTGTGTGCGAAGATAGGTGCCAGTGGGGTTGTATGGGTGGTGGCTGGCAGGAGGATGGGTGGTGGTGGTCTCTGTGGTAGCGAGCTGCTGTTGTTGCTGCTGCTGGAGCAAATAGTGGTTCCAGTAGTACTGTTGCCATTGTGCGTCCATGATGATGAAGTGCCGGCTGGAACTCGAGTAAAGACAATCGCGAGTAGTTGCTTGAGCAAGCTGAAAAAATGGAGGCGCAAACAAGGTAAAGACATGTATGCTGAGAGTGAAGGTGTTGAAGTTGACTGCCATGTGGCCTATCCGCAAATTCAAGGAACAGTGGAAAAAACTGAACTGCACAGTAAAGCGAGTGCGAAACCAAAGTAGAAACAAAACCAGAAAAACCGTCGTCATAGAGCACCTTGCGTTTTTTCGTGGTGCGTAGTGAAACAGGTAGAGGCCTCAATGTGGATGGCTGCAGTCCGAAGATTAGTGTCATGGAGTAGGTGATGCGGGTAGGTTGCATGGTGGGTTGAAATCAAACATCCATCTTCGGAGTAGGAGGCTCTTGTGGCCGACATAAAGATGCTGCGCGTTCAGTGGTTGTCGGCGTGCCAGGGGTCATGCTCCGGCTCATAGTTTTGGAGATGGAGCGGCAGGGGGCGCCCCTGCGTGTCGTAATACCCCGGTGGCAGGGGATGCGGGACTGTGGCAGTGGCTGTGGTGTTCGTGGGCGGCGTGGTGTATTCTGGAGCCAGTTGGGTTGGAGGTTGCTGTGATTGTTGGACAGGATAGTAGGATGGCCATGCGTGTGGCGGCGGTGGCGAGGCATGTGGAGGTGCTGAAGCCTGTGTCGGGTGGGCTGCCGCACCCTGGAAGATGGGCAGTGAGCGAAGGTGGATGTGAGGAGGGCTGTGATATCTGTGCTCATAAGGTTGACTTCTACCAGTCGCTTGCAGTTTTCACAAGCCCGGGGGAGGATAAAAGGTCAAGAACCGAAATTCCTCATGTGTGAACCTCTGCAGGCCACATTGGACCCAGGTTGTGGCTTACCGCTGCTTGTCGGTCCTTTGTGGTGGAGGGACGGGTTGCAAGGGTTGGTTGATGGCCGGAGCCTGATGGGTGGGATGCGAGGCGGGTGGGGGACGCTTTGGAAGAGGTTGCACTGTGGGAAGGAATTGTTGTGATGTTGAACGTGGTGCTGTGGGGGTGGGAACTGGCGATCCAGAACGTGGATCCGGCTGCTGAGTGCGTGTAGGGGTGGTCGAACGTGGGGTCTTGGAGCGCTTGGTGCGCGGGGTGCCGCCGATAGGGGAAGGGAAACCCTGAGTGAGTTCAGGGTGTGTCTGAGTGGTGACTGTAGGGGTGGGGATAAGGTTGACGTACTGCCAGCGTTCGTGGGGTTGCTTGTTTGCTGCGGCAGTGAGGGTGGGTGAGGTGGTGCTGGGAATGTTTGCTGTAGTATTGGAAGAGGTTGATTGCTCCGTTGGCGGTGTGACTGGGAGACCGGCGAAAGCAGGCAAGTGGACAATACCGTTGATGTCTGTCTGAGTGTGGCGGTGGTGAGTAGCCGGTCGCGGACTAGTCTGTTGCGATTGATGGAAGATGGGAAGGATGGCGGTGGAACAGCATGGCGAAAAGTCCAAGAAATTGTAGGTGTTTGAACAATGGTTGTTTCCCTTGACTGCGGTGACAAAGCGGCTCAAGTTGCACCTCTGCTGGGGAGGAAACCTGTTTATGGGGAAGGTAGCATGGGAACAACCATGAAAACAAAGAACAGCGGCGAGGGGAACCAGTGGAGTCAGTGTGTTGAAAGCAGGTACAGGAAGGTGATCAGCCTTCCCTTCCCATCCATGACCGCAGCTTCGTTGCACACGGTAGGTCATGGATGCCGTGTGCCCCTGCCTGTAGAACTGGGGTTGAAAAGTGGTAGTGGAAAAAGCGGTAGGAAACCCTTTGCCCAAGGGTGGACACACACTTCGAACTTGGGTTTTCAGTTATATTCAGTTGTCACGATGGGAAGGAAGGTGATGGAACGGCATGGTGAAAGGTCCGAAAACTTGAAGGTGTTTCAACATTGAAAGTTGTCATCCGCAGAAACACGCGAGCGACTGCGGTGAAAGGCTGCAAAAAACGCGTGGCTGCTGCAAGTGGCTGAAAGGAGAAAGGTTTGGGGGAAGTATCATGAACCACCATGGAAACAAACAGCAAAAGTGGACAGCGTGTGCAACAGTTGTTCGGCAGGTACACACTGAGACGTCTCTCAGTGCTTCCCCTCCAGCGACTTAGCTTCGTTGGGCAAGGTTCGTCGCTGGAGGCCTTGCCCCCCTGCCTGTGATGAATTCACATCAATGGAAAAAGAAAGGAACGATCTCGGTGGTAGTGGAAAAGTGAAAAGGTGGAAAACCCTTAGAACCAGGGTGTGACACACACAACACGCCGTGATCGGCGCACAGAGCGAGCGGCGGAAAACGCAAGTCTTTTTTCTCAAAAACCGCCTGCACGCGTGCAGGTCATGCCCTTTTTGGGCGTAGAGGTGGACCAAAGCTCGGGAACTCAGTATGTGTGCAGTGAAAAATTAATTAACTTGAAAAATTGGCATGCATTGTAATCTCCGGGATGTGAGCATGCATGCGTTGATCGTCGGTCAAATGGCTGCGGGTGGGAAATTAAATTGAAGTTGGAGAAAACGCAGCAATGCACAACGCGAATGAATGTCGGAGCGTTGAGTGGATAGTTCCTCGCTTATAGCCCGGCGGCTCGAAAATCAGGGAATTCAGGGATAAAATGGAAAACGTGGGGTCAGTTATAAGAAAGAAAAAACGATGCTTTCCGGAGTGATAGCAGCGCCTCCTTTCGGAGGATCGCACCCAGTACCCGAGTGGGAAGACTGAGCGGGTCACACTTCGAACTTGGGTTTTCAGTTATATTCAGTTGTCACGATGGGAAGGAAGGTGATGGAACGGCATGGTGAAAGGTCCTGAAAACTTGAAGGTGTTTCAACATTGAAAGTTGTCATCTGCAGAAAC